GACCGTTCGCATCAATAGCACTGCACCTTTGCAGTACATGCGCATCTCGTCGCGCCAGCCACACGCGGTGAGCTTTTGCCGCAACGCTTCCTTGAGCCTACGATCGATGAGCAGGCAACGCCAGCGCCTTGCAGCCGTACCGCTCCTTCTCGCCCGACTCGACAAGCCTCTGGTTGATCGTCTCCTTGACTTGCTCGTCGAGCTTCTTGCGGTACTCGTAGGATCTACGCACGTCGCCGCCATGAGACCATGCAGCCCACGGACGGCGGCTCAATACTCGGCCATGATCAGCGGGCTTGCGTTCTGGGTGGTTTTTCCAAACCATCCGGATAGCATGCCACCAGATAATTGCCGACATCCAGCCATAGATCCCAACGTGCGCGCAGCCGCTCATCCAGCTGCAGCGCTAGCTCTGCGCATTTTCATTAGAGCTACCCGTGGCGCGCTTCGCTCGTTGTGTGCGTCAACCGGGCTTGTGATTCGGTATGGCGATACCCATCCAAACAACCAGATAAGTGCTGGATTTTGATGTATCCGGACTGGAAGCAAATCTTTGACGCGACCTTTTGGATGCTGCCAGCGCGTCGTGGGTCCAAGGCGGCGCCGGTACGTCCTATGTCCTTGACTGCAGCGCATCGAACTCAGCTGTAGCGCAAGGACGTCGATGCGAAGAGCAGCCTCGATGCCAAGAAGGCAGCGAAGCGAAAGAAGTGGGAGCTACCAACGTACGTGGCAGCACGCGACTTTACCGGCGCGCTGACGCTCCTCGCCTTTGAAGCCAAGCACGGCAAGAGCCATAGCCGCCGCACGAACGCGCTCTGGAGCGCGTACTGCCACTTTTACCTCGGCGAGTATGAGCTGGCGCTGCAGCAGCTCGACAGTGCGCTCGTACGCTCCGGAATATCAATCTCGCATCGTCGTCATGCATGGCATAGACCGTAGACGACGACGAAAGCGAGCCCGATCACAGCACCCATGTGGCCGACTATATCCACTTGCAGCGCGCTTGCTGCTATCTCTACCTCCACGTACGCTGCATGTTGCTCACCACGCTACTACTACCATCGTCGCCCAGGAGTTGGCTTTGGCGCACGGCGTTCTCACACAGTCGCTGCCGCCAACGCTGCAGCACGAGACGCTGCAAGCTGCGCGGTATCGCCTCGAGCTCGTCCTTGCGCAGCGCGAGGACAAGTCGATGACGGTCGCGTCGCGTCTCGGACCGCTCTTGACGTCGAGTGTGCAGGACCAGCTCGCGGCCGCGGCCATTCTCTTCCGCCAGCGCAACTTTCAAGGCGTGCGTCTGTTGATGTACTCAAGTGTCTATCGAAACCTTCGATGTATAATATAGGCCATGGACATTTACAAGCGCATGGCAGCGCGGGACGAAGGCTACGCAGCCGTCCAAGTCTACCTCGCCATGTGCTACTACAGCCTCGAGTACTACGACGTGTCGCTCGAGATGCTCAACAACTACCTCTCGCTCGATCCGCTCAGCGTCGTGGCGCAGAACCTCCGCGCGTGCAACTTGTACCATCTCACGGACGGCTTCGCTGCGGAGCAGAGCCTTACGCTGTCGGTACGCCAGCAAGACAGTGTTTCCATTCGCAAGCACAGAGCGTCTTGGTGGTAGGCCCACGCACAGAAGACCCACGTGCTGCTCGAGCACAACCTCATGGCGTTTCGCGACACCGAGTACAGCTTGACGGTGTGGACGTCGCTTCTTGGCATTGTGCCCGAAGCGCTCCTGAACGCGGCGATCTTCCACCTCAAGCGACATCAGATGCGACTGGCCTACCACCTGCTCGAGAGTCTCGAGCCGTCGACACCGATCGAGTATGCCCTTAAAGGTATAGATTGATAGATTGATAGAATAGCGTTGCATGATCGTGCTGCGTCTAGGCGTCGTGCACAGCTGGAAAGGCCAAAGCGACGGCCAAGGCGGCACGGACGAGCATTTGTTTTTAGCGGAAAAATTCTTCGAGACAGTCGGCGCGTCCCCGTCCGAATGCGACACGATCCGAGGCCGGCAATGCATGGCGTCGTTCTACATGCTGCGCAAGGAGGTAGTCATGTGACTGCTCTAAACCCTCTGACTGCGTGGCGTAGTTTGAGACAGCCGTGACGTACCTCAAGTCGATTTCCATGTACCACGTCAAGAACGATGCGTTCAATTGGAACTATGGCATGGCACTCGCCGCCATGGGCTGCTACTCGGTAGCGCCGTATTGTTATAGTGGGCTGTCGACTTTATATATATATATATGTATGTAGGAAGCCGAGTCGGTGCTCACGCAGATCCAGGAGCCCGCGTGGAAGCAGCGGTACCTCTACTGCGCCTGGCTCGCGCGCTGCCACATCCGGTCGATCCAGCAGTCGCACTTGGCGTGGGAGATGTACCTCAACATGCAAGACTCGAACGACGCGCTCCAGTTGCTCAAGCTCATCGCGCACGAGTTTTACCTTGTACGCGATTTGGTTTTAGCCGCCAGTTTGCCAAGACCTTTCTTGTAGATGGCCGACTACTATTTGGCGGCCAAAGCGTTTGACGTGCTCGAGCGCGTGGACCCGGACCCTGAGTACTGGGAGGCCAAGCGCGGCGCGTGCGTCGGGTACTTCAACAAGGTACAACTTGTCTATCTTCTACGTGACAATATCGATGTTGTCCTTAGTCCATCACGGGCAAGTGCGACCCGGTCAAGCTCCAGCAAGTGCTCACGATGCTCGAGAGCTCCAAGCACCACCAAGGCAAAGGCATTGCACGCACGCTGCGCATGTGGTGCGAGACCAAGAAGCTCTTGCCGCGATGATCGTGACAGCAAATAGTGTATATTAATTGAAAACAGCAACAAAACCAGTACGTCTTAGCTCGCTTCGTCGAGCGGCGAGAGAGAGCTCGCGGACGATGCGTGGAGATCGGACACACTCGAAGCCTTGGACGAGCTTAGCGACGACGACCCGTAGCTCGACGTCGACTCGGACGAGTAGCTTGAGAGGCTCGAACGGCTATCAGACGACGAGACATAGGACGTGGCTGTCTCCGAGTCGGAGCTCTCAAGCGCAGCGTCGTCGACAGCCTTGGCAACTGCGCCGACAAGCCACTGGTGAACGAGTGTTGTCGCGACGGCTTGCTCGATCGTGACAAGCGCCGTGTGGGAAGTCACCACCAAAACGGGGGGTGCAGGGGGGACGGGTACTGACGCAGGAAGCGCCACCGAGAGCACATCAGGTGGCGGGTCTGCTTGTGCTTGGTCATAGGCCGCTGGGATTTCCTTCTGAACGCAGACAGATTTGGCCGCAGTACGCTCCATGGCGTCTGTCAGCCACGTGGACAGAAGGTGCCGGGATAAGAGTGCGCACAAGGTCGGATCGACCGCTGAGGAGCTCACTTGCTTGGAGGTGTCGGGACGTGCTGGCAACCGTGTGGTATTCTCGTTGGGAGACACAACAGACGCGCCCTCGACGAGCAAAATGCTACGCGATGGCTTGCAGGTAGTCGCAGCCACCGAAGACACGGCGTCGTGCAGCCAGACGCGCACGAGTTGACCAGCAATCCGAGAAGCGGTGATGGCGTCATCGATGGACAAAGAGAGCTCCGTGTTGACGCGCCAAAGCGGCACCTTGGGCATTGTCTCGACGAGATCTGGCAACTCGGATGCTGGCAGAGGCGCAACGACGTCCATGGGCAGGCGCTGGAGCTCCGACATACTCGGGACTACATCCATAGCAGCGTCGCCGACCCAGGCGTCGTCATGCGCTATTATTGCTTCGCATTCACGACCCTCTACGGCGGCGGGAGAGTGGCCTGCGCTTGTTGTGAAGGCTGGGACGGGCCGCCACGAAGCCGCCTCAAAGTGCTCGGCCACTTCGACGTACAGGCCATGGGTCGGCTGTGTCCACGGCGCTGTTAACGCTGCGACGTGGTCCGTCAAGGAGGGCAGTGCCGCGCTGGCATCGGTGACGAGCAGCTGTGTTACGCAGCTCAAACTCGCCTCGTGCAGCCACCCACGCACGAGCTGCCCCGAAAGCATCGAGGCAGCGACCGCGCGATTGCTCTCGGCCAACTCGCATGCGCTTGGCTCGAGGATCTCAACTTCCTCGGGTGGTATTAATTGGACGTTGGTTGAGGGCAAGCCAGCTGTATCTGTGGTGGCAGCAACCCGTTCGTGTGTCGCGTCCACAGCGTCGGCGGTCTCGGTATCGACAGTCTCAGCATCAGCTGTCTTCGACTCCGTAATGACGATCGCAGAGATGACGGTCTCGGCGTCAGCACACGACGTCGCATGTTCGTGTCGTCGCGCCGTCAACTGCGCGATCTCCTTTATCACGTCGTACGTCCACGCGCGCACCAGCCGTCCGGCCAAAATGGACGCCGCCACCGTGTCGTCCCGAGGCTCATCGGACGCTTTGTCGTCTGCGGACACAAGGTCGATGGCGACCAGCGGCGCGTCATCAACGACATTGAGGGCCGACGCAAGTTGCTGTGTCGAGCGTTGGACAATACTGTCCATCACGTCGTAGACCCACATACGAACGAGTTGTCCAGCCAGTATCGACACTGCGACCACGAGCGATGCGTCGCTGATGTCATCGGCGAGTGGCTCCACGGCAGATGTATTCTCACTGCTTGGAGACAACTCCTCGTCCATGGCGCGCGATGGTTGAAGCTCGCTTTGCGACTTGTTGGTTTTGAGCTCATTTTGTTCGGCCGATCGTTGGGTGAGAATGTTGTCCATGGTTTCGTAGACCCACGCATTGGCAAGCTGCCCGGCGAGGATCGAGACGGTCACCATACTGTCATCGCTTGTCTCGAGCTCTGCACCATCAATGATGACCGGCGCCATGGAAAGCGTAGGCGGCGGGTCATCAACGACCACGGGTGACGCAGGGGCTTCTGTCACGGTGCATGCGGAAGCGTCGGCGGCATGCTCGTGGCGTCGTGCAGAAAACTGAACGACCTCATTCATCGTCTCGTACAGCCATGCGCGGACAAGTTGACCGGCCAAGACAGAGGCGGCCACGTCCACGATATCGTCCTTGGTTGTCTCGGCCTCGGACAGCTCTGCTGGCAAGACGACAACAGAATCGCTGTTATCGCAGACGTCCAGGGGAGCAAGTGACGCAGCCGTACACGCCAGGGCTCGTTCCGCAATGACACCACAGGTTTCATAGAGCCACGCACGCACGAGTCGGCCGGCGAGAAAGGTCACAGCCACCTCGTTGTCATGCGCCGCCATTTCGCTGGCGTCGATCGTCTCCGGGGCAGAGGCTAGCGCTGTCGCCTTCTCGAGCAAAGACGATGGCGTGGCATTGGTCAAGGACGCCACGGCAGCGTCGTGCTCATGGGGACGAGACGTGAACCAAGCAACTTCTGCGATCGTATCGGCGATCCACGCGCGCACGAGGTGGCCCGCGAGGATCGATGCAGCGACCTGCGAGCACATGCTGTCCTCTTCTTCTTCCATCAGCGGTACAGCATCGATAGGCTGACAATCGTCGAGGCAAGGCGGGTCGGGCGTCTCAAGGGCTTCTGCCGTGGACTCGTGTTGTTCAATCATGGCTCGGACTGCGGCCTCGGTCCACGCCTGCACGAGCTGCGTCGCCATGTCACGGAGACACGAGTCGAGCCCGCTCTCACAGAGTGTGAGGTCGGGGTCATCTCGCGTTGCAGATGCAACGCCTATGGCCGACACCAACGTCGCTGTGGGAGCTACGTCGATCGCCTTGATGTCGATGGATACCGATGGGCTTGAAAGACCCGCTGCGAGCACTGCGATGGCATCGGACGTCGCCGCACGGGCGTATTGACGGGCAACGCTTGCAAGACCATTCACGTCCGCAACACATGAAGTCGTTGGCGTCATGTCGGTACCGACTTTCGACGTCGTCTTTAGCACATACGAGCTCTTGTCAGTTCTTATAGCAGCGCTCGACGTCATCAGCGCAGCGTGCATCCAGGCGTCGACAGCGCGTGTCGCCACGAGGGCGGTCGGCCGCATCATCTTGGTGAGCTCGACCTTGGCGTCCATGCACGCAGTGGACTCGCAAGCCTCGGGCTCGGGCTCGTCGTTGGAGGCGGTGGAATACAATGCCTTTGCGCAAATGACGTGGCACGCAGCATCGATGCAGCTTTGGGCGACAGTCGCCGCCAAAGATGCCACGTCATCGAGGTATCGCTCCGAGATCCCAGCGTCGCTTGCCTTGGCCTTTGAAACGTTGATCGCGAGCTCTGAAGACGTGACGGTGTCTGGCGTGGTGGTTGCCATCGTCGTGGTTGCTGCGGAGAGTGCGGCGTCTGTGAGCCGTACGCGGACGTTCTGCGCAGCGATGGTCGTCGCAGCTTCCGCCCACGTGTCCGTGCTTGTCACTGGCGGGCTCAAGACCGCGATAACATCCCAAGGGCCGGCATCACAAATACCCGCGTGCGAGGAAGTGTCGAGCGGCATGCAGTCGTCCACGACACTGGATGCAATGGCGCTCTGCGGCTCGTAGACGGCCGCGTGCAGCCATGACCGGACGAGGTTGCCGGCCAAACGCGACGTGGCCATGTCGCGATCATGGTCCCATTCGTCGGGCTCGTCGCGTGCGGTTGGCGGCAACGAGAGCGCCGGCATTGCTGGCGCCGCGCGTGCCACTTGCGGTACCGAAGCGATTGGCAGCGAAAACCACGCAACAAAGCTGAGGAGGTTGGCGACCGAGTCGTACATTGGCGCGTCCCACGAGGTCCACACCACCGAGGGCGCGGCCACCTTTACAGTGGACTCTACGATCGATGGCGCATCAATAGCTGTTGCCAGCGTTGGTTCCGGCAATGTCTCTCGAGCCGACTCTAGACACCGTGCAACGGACTCCACCGCCGTCAAATCGTGCATGGCAGCGACAAGTGCTGCTCCGTAGCTCTCGGCGTCGGGCGGTGACGTGGCCGCGTGATCAAGCGCCGCTTGCATGCCATGGCTGAGTGCTACGTCGACCATGGCGACTGCGACTGCCCTCGCCGTTGAGCAGTCTCCACAAGCGCGCGCAGACGGTAGTGTTGTCGTCTCGAGCTCGCGCATTGGTGTCCACGTGGCAAAGGCAAAGAGCCGTGCGACGCTATCGTAGACGGTGGTCGACAGAACATTCGACCCGCGCGGAGTCGCCGACGACACGATTTCCGTGATGCGTGCCGCTTGGTTGGTATCGAGTTGCTGACACACGACGCGCGTAATGCCCTCTACGAGCCAAGATCGCACGAGTGGACCTGCAAGACGCGATACGCGCAGCGTTTCCTCGAGATGAAGGGCCTCGTGCGCCAACGGAGCGAGAAGGGGCGCTGGGTCGGACAGTCGCGATGTGAGAGAGTAATCGAGCGCCTCGTGCAGCCATCCACGTACGAGCTGCCCCGAAAGCATCGAGGCAGCGACCGCGCGATTGCTCTCGGCCAACTCGCATGCGCTTGGCTCGAGGATCTCAACTTCCTCGGGTGGTATTAATTGGACGTTGGTTGAGGGCAAGCCAGCTGTATCTGTGGTGGCAGCAACCCGTTCGTGTGTCGCGTCCACAGCGTCGGCGGTCTCGGTATCGACAGTCTCAGCATCAGCTGTCTTCGACTCCGTAATGACGATCGCAGAGATGACGGTCTCGGCGTCAGCACACGACGTCGCATGTTCGTGTCGTCGCGCCGTCAACTGCGCGATCTCCTTTATCACGTCGTACGTCCACGC